TCCCAGCTATTATTCGTAGTCCACCATTAGCATGTCTGTCGTTTATTGAAGTTTGGATAAGGAAGGATAATAAAGGATCAGATTAAATTCAGTGGTAGATAAAGGAATTTGAAATAGAGTTGGTCATCATAGGGAGGGACTGTCATAGATGAAGGGTCTAAACCACTTCAGCCCCACTATGGTTGGGGCGGAGGCAAGAAAATCTATGATGATGGCTGGAAGTGGCGCTATCACACACTTAAATTTAAATGTAATTTTCTTTTTTTCTCTATTAAAAAATAAGGGAAGGGAGGAGGGCTAAGGCGCGATCGACAAATTATTCCAGACGACAAATCAGCGTTCAGACGCGTTTTTTATTGTTCTACCAAAACGCGTCTGAAAACACAGTTTGAATAGACCCATGCTTCGAAAACGTTGTCCATGATCAAAGTAGATGAAATTTTGCATTATACTAAGCTAAATTATATTTACATTTTATAAAACAATGTTTGTTAATTGAATTTACGTGAATTTAATGCGAAACACATTTTTTATGCCAAATTTCACCGCGAATTTCGCAATACAAACATGCTAAAAAGGCTAAACCATTGCATACCCAGAAAATCAGCGTTCAGACGCGTTTTCTATTGTTCTACCAAAACGTGTCTGAAAACACTGTTTGAATAGCACACCGTTTGGACGCTGTTTTCCCGTTTTGGCCTTTGCTCCTCCCCTTTAACTATGGCTGATTGGATGCACCGTAAAACGCGTCCAGACGACTCTCTAAAATAAATCATAATACGACTGACTCTGCGCCCCTATACATAAGTACAGACTTGTTTACCTGCTAGTGAACGTCTCTTTGTACGCCGCCTGTGTGTGCAAGAACTGACAGAAGTACGTAAACTAGGGGAAGTCCCTGGTCGGTGCTAAATAAAAGTTGGTTGGGTACCGGGACGTCGACGTTCAGTAGGCCTAGTACCGTGCATAGTGAGACTTTCGCCATATGCAGTGATTTTACGAATCGATGAACAAATATAACGTTAAAAAATATGTTTTTTTAAAAAGTTATTTCCGATGTAGTCGCAGCTGGAGTCACTGGCCACCATCAGTTTTAAGAAGCGCGATCACCATCCTGTGAAGCTGGGGTAACATCCAGCACAGCAATTAATTGCTCTCCTTGCCGTTGAAAGGGATCACGTGCTAAGAGAAGACCCATGCTCCGAAAACGTTGTCCATGATCAAAGTAGATGAAATTTTGCATTATACTAAGCTAAATTATATTTACATTTTATAAAACAATGTTTGTTAATTGAATTTACGTGAATTTCATGCGAAACATGTTTTTTTTATGCCGAATTTCACCGCGAATTTCGACATACAAACATGCTAAAAAGGCTAAGCCATTGCCTACCCAGTAAAGGTTTTACTAACAACTCGCGATATTACTGTAATATATTTATTTATTCAACTGAACATACACTTCTGTTTCAGTGGCACACATAAATGTGGTGCGTTCAATGTATAAAAGAGAGAAAGAAAAACAACTAAAAATAAGTAATTCTTAAAAAAAAAAATGTTATACCCCGTTTGAAAATGGACAGTTCTAAATTGCCCAGTACTCTACTTGTTTACGCACGTGGTTCTGGGCCCTGCTCTCTGCACCCAAGACTCGACCTCGAGATCGCTGCAGTTTTATTTGAAAGAGCACTCTGTACTCTTCGATCAGTTAAATAATAAATCAAAGTTATTGTCTTTATCTAAATTTTACTAGTCAACCAAATATACATCTCTCGATTCGGAGGACCTACAGTAGAACTTACAGTAAAGAAAATGTCACTGCTGCATAGTATACACAGTATGGGACATAGTAGAAAGTAGCCTCAGAAAATTGTGAGTAACCAGCCGTGCGCGAGGATAAAAAAAAGATAGGCAGACTACCTACCTAGGTCTAGATTTGATTTTATATTTAGGCCAGAATATAACGCCGACTTACCATGGCACTTAAAGTATATTTGAAGTATGTTTGTGATTTGTAATGCGAATGTAGGCTATCCTCCTTCACTTTTGCAAGAAAATGTCAGCGCTATTTTTAGAGTCGCGACATAGTTCTATTTACAGAGCGGCGTACAAAGCGAATTCCAATCAAATTCGGTTAGCACATACCACGCCCTGGAACCTCCAGGCACGTTATCATGTAATTTACAAATCTTCATATAAGCATAGAGTAAGTATAGCCACATGTACGTATAAGAAAACAATAGAAAATCATTCAAACGATCAACAAGCGTCCAAACGATTCACCGTCGTCCAGACGCGAGCCGTAATTCAAGCGTGTAGCAAATGAATATTCATATAGCATGGTAATTAGAATGGTTGATTTCTCAGACGCGTTCGTGATAGGATGTTGACCTAGACGCGTTTCTGCCGTCTGGGATAATTTGTCGATCGCGCCTAAGCTAGCTGCCCTTTCCCTTGAATCTGCCACTAAATTTGAACATGTATGAGGTGGTTAATAATTGGTGATGTCAAGATGAGATGCTGCTCCACAGTTAAATTAAAATAAGATTATATTAAAGTATATTTATACTATATCGAAAGATTAGACACAAAAGTCTACCAGTTTTCTTATCAATTCCAAGTTAATTAAAATCCAAGCAATTATAAAAGGCTGAATCAATAGTAACAGAAGGTAAGCTGGGACTGCCTTTATTAGAGTAAACAATATACATCGTTTAATGACTGATTAATTAACCAGTGAGCATTAAAGTTGATTGTCCTGTGAGGAATTCACTGCCCGTCTGCCAGGAAATATAACTGTATTACCTCAGGTTGATCTTTGCTCAGGATGGACAAGTGTATTTATTTTGATGACTCATCGTATAAATTCCAGTGGAGTGTACCGACTTTACATAGGGGGCCTACTGGTACTAGTCATAAAGGCTTTTATCTGAGGAGGAGTAGGAAGTGTACTATTTAGCAGGTTTGTCATCTGTCTAGGACTATAGCTGATGCAGTCATCAGCCCATCGTCTATGAAATAACAACTCTCATAGGTAAGATTGAAATTCCTGTTGTCAGTCCAAAAACAGTCTAAAGTACCTGTTTTAATGCTCTGTATTTTTTACTAGGACATTTTCAGTAGATAAGAGAAGGTGGGAGTCACATTGTCTGGGATTGCAAAAGCAGTGCTTTATTTCTTTCTAATCTTCTGTTAACTCTCTCAGGTGATATTAAATCATTTGAACTTTAGCTAAAGCATTCTTCGAGGAGCTTTGCAAAACTAATATCTTTGTTTATGTATTTTCCGTTTATTGACATTCAGTTGATTTCTTTATAATCTGTATCTTACATTGAATACATGCTGCTGTGTTGTGCACCATGCCCTAAAGTACTGTACCTCGTATGTTTTCTTATTTGATGTTGAGTACACCTCAGAATAAAACTAATTATTACATATCTTACCTATTTTTTAAAAAACTTCTCACAATATGTTTTATGGGTAGTAATTACTCAGTTATTGATCTATAAAAGGATCTTTTTTCATCATGTGTTTTATATGTATTAAGCAAAAAAATAAAGAAGATAAGATAGATGACAGGTCATTTTGCATTATTTTTTGGTACAGTGTTACACAGGAATTATATTCCAGAAACAAAAACAAGTTTTAAATGAACACTAAAATCTCAGCTAGCTTATAATGCAAATATAGGTAACATCAGATAGAAAGCAGGACAGATCTTTAAACTTTTTCTTTCTTTAGACATCAATGTATAATAATGGTTAAAATAAACTATCTGTATTCCTGCAAGTTCATTTGGACCACAATCTGATATAATGGGTTCTGGAAAGTCATTAGACGTTCATTAGACCTACATTGATCTTTAGCTAACTGTGTCTTGTATTGTAACAGTAGAGGAGTTCTGTAGCTTGAGGTACATGATCTAGGTCTCTCACTACATTTATAACCATGTCTTTGTCATACACTGATTTAACTTCTCATTATCTATGATATATAACTTTTTGATGATGTACCTTCTTAGTAATAATGAGGCTGCTGGTATTTATTCATGTTTACTGATAGTATTTCGTGCAGGTGTTACCTCTTTTTACATGCACTACTTGTGTTTGTTGACAAGAGATGTAATCAGAATTCTAAATGATTAGTCAAATCAGAAATATATTACAAGTTACTTAAAATTGCTCTTGAAAAATTCATTTTAAGTGATTAATACAATTGAAGATGGTTTAATTAAACTTATTTGAATGTAATTTAGATAAAAACTTAATTATAACAAGGAATTGTCTCTGAAAATGTAAAATAATGTGTCAATAGAATAACAATTGAATTAGAGAGATGTTTAGAGAAGTGGAAAGGAGAATAGGATGGATTAGATAAAGTAGTGAAGGGAAAGAACAAAGAAAGAAAGGAAGAAAGTAGAAAAAAATAGGAAGGAACAAGGAATAAAAGAAAAGAAATGAGGAAGAAATGAACAAGGAGGAGGAGGATTGAAAGAAAAGGGTTAAAGAAAAGAGGAAATGAAACATAGAACCATAGAGGAGAATGATAGAGTGGAGTGGAAGTGACAAATAAGAGGGAGAGGCAGGATTAATCACTCAAGTAAACATACTTTAATATATTCAGGTGTGATTAAGAATATACTGTACAGTACCTAGATGTCTTAAGCCATTGCCCTCGAGTTTATTTGCCTCGTCTGTTTATGTATCCCTTTTCCTTAGTATCTTGTATTGTCTTCTTTCTTATCGGTTGTCTCCAAATAGTCTCAAGGCGGCTTTTTTCATACTAGAACTTGGTCTAATTTTATTTAGATACAACATGAACACAACAAATAGAGTAAATATTTGAAGTGGACACTGCTCCTTGTGTGCTGAAAAAAGTGGGCTGAAATCCTTGTTTGGTTTTGTGACATCACAGGAAAAATAAACATGTTAGGCATTCATTGTCCCAGACTTAGGCCTTTTGAAGCATTATTAAAAGGTGTCATTCAAATTCCTTTAGGCAAATGAGCCAGGTGGTATTTTTATCACCTACACAAATAGGTTAAAATGTAGGGTTAAACTTGATCTAGCAGTCTTGGTGGTTTGCTGGTAGAGTTTTTAATAGTGAACTACAGTAGATTTACATGGAGAAATAATTATTTGATACAGGTAAGGTGAGAATGGTTTTAGTAGTATTTGATAATTGGATATAATTTGTTTGCTAGTAGTAGATTTCTTAGTAAACTAAAATTAGATTACATTTTGTAGGGGATACAGTATTTGAGGCAGATAAGGTAATAATATAAGGTAACTAATGATATTTTGCCTTGAACAACAGAGTTTGTACTGTATTGTGTGTAGATGGTTAAACTGATAAAACAGGCAATACTGTACTGGGTTTACTGTAAATGTAACTGGCTAGCTTTTAAAATACTAATTGTTGGTATAACATACTATATGATTGCTAATGTTTGAATGTTATGTTTTTTTAGCCATGATAAAAAAAATAAATTGTGTAGGCCTACAATAGCAATATTTCTTACAATTTACTATATAATTTAACTGAAAAAACATGATTGGAGAATGAGAAAAGCATACAAACTGGCTCTACACATATTTTATTGTGATAAACTAACTAGACTAGCACTTTTTTACACCGTGTCTAAAATTCAAGAGTTTAAAATAAACAGCTAGTGAACCTAGGGTAGGCATTTATACATAGGCCTACATAAGAGGGTTGTGTATGCTCTAACCGAAAGGGTGGATGGAAAGTTCACTGATTTTGAGTGATTTGGTAAAAGAAAGAGGCAGTGGCAGATCCCGGGATGTTCAGGGGTTCGGACGAACCCCTCTGTGAAGAAATGTAGTAAAATACTACTGGATCCTGGATAACAAAAGGCATGCTAACCTACCTAGGCATAGGTTGGCAGATGGGACAAACTGGGTTTAGCCCATCTAGCCTTCAATTAAATAAAAGTAAAAACACTTTTTTTGGTTCGACGTTGTAATAATTTATGTACGAAAGTGCGTTCTTCAGGCCTATCGGTTCATAGATCCATGGAAGAAAGACTACGTATCGAACTACTCAATATTGTTGGAATATAATAATATATTGCCTATGTCTAGATTTTTTTTTCTCTATGTACAGTATAGGCCTAAGAATGAGATAAAATTACATGACCTTTTTCAAGAGGGGGAAAACCTTGAATTTTGAAGAAATATAAGGTCATTGAAAGACACCTCAGAAGTCGGGAAAGTTCATTTCCGGCCATCTAGACCCCCTTCCTTTTTGGGGTTTTTTTGAAACATTTTGAAATCCCCCCCCCCTTTCAAATCCTGTATCGGCCCCTGAGAGGCCTTTAATACATTTTGGATATTAGAAAAGATTTTTATTTATCCATAGAAATGGGTAGTAAACTGGTCAGTAGGCTATACTGTAGGTAAGTGTCAAAACAAACAAAATGACTTTATACCTGAATCTTACCGCAAATTCTGCCTTAACAATGGGTTTATGATTAGCTTATACTGTTAGTCTGTGCTAATCTACAGTCAGTAATTATTGAGGGTGCTTTAAATATTATTATATAAAAATGACCAATTTCCAACAGTTTGATTGAAAAATGTTGAGATTTACCGAAACCTGCTGTAGAAAAAGTGGGGTGGTTTAGGGGAGCAGAGGCACCTCTTATCCAAAAATAATTCAAGTTGATACAATATCCCGGGTAGTTGACTTGTGACTGGCTTTAGTATTATAGATTGATCTATGATTCATCGACTGAGCTTTAGTTGTTTACTCCATGAATCTTCTTGGTTGTGAAATTAGCGGCCACCGGATCGTAATAGATCGTATTCTCGAGTGCTTTCTAAACATTGCTTAAGTTTACAAATGCGGCATAGTAATCAGTAATGGTCTGTCTGATTGATAACGAGTACGAAATGATCATCACACTTAATAATTAGTCATATTGCTGTTGACAGGTCTGATGGGCAGGTATTAACTATCAAAGACAATTCTAATGTTTCTCTCTTTTGTCTATTAAAGTTTTCTGCCTCGCTGTCAATAATTTTGGAAATTTATTTGAAATCTCAAAAATAATGACAAAGGATTATTTTGTAATCTTTCTATAAAACTGAGCAAAATCAACTTTTAAATTTAATTCATCTCGCATAAGAATAAAAAAACTTCGGAACACAAAATTAAACTTTTTGGCATACTAATCTTGTTTTATAAAAGAAGATCTGTGGTTTTTAGGTCTTAATGATAATAAAAATTTAGATTTATATAGCGCCTTACACTAACAAAAGCCCCAAAGCGCTTAACAGTGATTGTATGATAGCATAACTAGGCATATCATTATGTTTTGCTTGCATGTATGTATGTATTTATTTATTTATTTCAATTAATTAAATTATTTTTTTATTTTATAAGTTTTTTTAAATAAATTTTAAAAAATAACACATAAAAGAGGAAACAATCAAATCAATGGTCAGCTAACCAGCTGGGCGAGCCATTCACCTGCAGTTAAAGGGCACATGTTGTCCAGCCGGTATATAATTCACAGGCACAAAACCAACCAAATCTAAGTACACTTTGAGAAACAAATTAACAACAATAGAAAAAATTTTTAAAGAATACAAACATTACCTCATTGCATTGAAAAGTTGATTGAGTGATTGATGGACATATGACGGATCTTACGCTACCAATGGCATAACACGCTACTAAGCTCTCTATTACTAGGATATGTTTATTAACAAAAAACTGTCAGATTTAAAATCCCTAGATAATACCCAGATTAATGAGCTATCAACTGGATCATTGAGCTGATTATGTAATTAAAACACAATGCACAGGGATTTTGTGGTAAAATATTCCTTCTGTCTGAATAATTTTTGATGGTCCGAATATATTTTTGTTTTATTTGTGTTTCTAATGTTACTTGAACATAAAATGTGGTTAGTGAAACAAATTAGAGTAATATATGAATTAATTATACAATGCTGAAATTGTCAGTCACAACACAAGTGACTGGTTGGTAGCACTCTTTTCTCCTATTGTCTGTCTGTTATAGTTCATGCTAATTGTGATTAGTCAACTATTACCTAAGTAAGATCAAAATCATAGTTGCAGGACTGGTACAGTACTAGCTAGGTGGCACTTGTTAATCTGATATTTGTAGCTAAAGAACCTATTTAAATCCAACTCTGGCATTGTAGCAGTAATGTTAGCATCGCTGACATTGAAATTTGTAAGCGGTTGCCTAATGCTCCGTGTCTGAACTTAGCCATTATATGTTGATCAAGTTGTACTTACAAAACATTTCATTATATTAGAAATGTCATTAAATAGTCAAGATCCTCAAGAATTCTAAATGTGCCATCCCAGCTTGAAGTATACTTATCAGGGGATAAACTCCTATCTTATAAATTCAAGATGATTACTCATCACTTGGAAACATCCCCCTCAGGGGTTGCTCTCCTATCATTTATATGGTGTAATTATGCTCTTGGAATTTGTTATGCAGTCTCAGACATAGCATCTCCCTATTAACCAGAAAATGTTTTTATTAAAACCACATTCCAAAATGTCTGACTGAATACTATGGAAAGAGGAATCCTTAAGAATGCATACCATGTGGTGTTAAGTAAATAAATATTTAAAAGCTTTAGATAGCTGAGTGTTAATGATATTCTGGGCTATTCTGATTTGGGAGTTTCTAGTTAGCGTTTTTTGTGTGAATAGTAATCAATATACAGGTTGATTAATGAGACAAGTTATTAAGATGCAGCGTCAGTGCTGATTTCTGGCTCCACTGCTGTACTATTGATTTTTGCCTTCCCTCTTTGTGTTGTAGGTCGTTGAACTAGGTGATGGGTGATCTATTTCCTTGTATGAATAAAGAAGCATCTTTAGTGTATGTTCAATGGGTGAGAGATGCTTAAGTTATAACAACAGCTTGCTAACTAAAATTGTTTAATGATAGCGTCCCATACAGTATTGGACCAGTTTTCAGTTGTGATTGGCGAGTTTGTTTACATACATTTGTATTTTGCTTACTAAATATTTGCCAGTTTGTGCCATTTTTATCCAGGGCCATTTTTGAAGGCAATTTTTGCCTATATTTGGTATGTTGGAACACCAAAATATGTTTTCTAATAAGTTAATGAGGAAATGGGAATTAATCTTTCATTTCATTTGTTGAGCTCTAGTTTTATAATTATGTTTTTTGTTGTTTTTTTTTTTTTTGTATTAATTAACATAAACATAGTCTGTCTTTGTGAGTTGTTCCACCAACCCATATTTTCCAGTGCCATAATTTCACAGCTGTTTACATGGAAATGTATTTGTACTGGTGGTATACAAAATTATATGAAATTTTGCAAGTCTGATTGGTAGTTTACATGCTAATAACATTTTTTAAAGCCAGGCTCAGTAGGGAAATTTGTTTTTGATATATTGTACAACTGATTTTTTTAAGATACAGAAAAGCATATTTGACATAAAACTCTGGAACATTTAATGAGATACAGATTTTTTAATACTTAAAAACTGGGGGGGAAAGATGTGTAACCACCTTTTTGTTCTACCTTTTTTCCCCTGTTGTTAAATATTCAAAAATCTATTTCATTAACCCTTCCTGAGTTTTCGTCTAAAATGCTGTGTCTTAGAAGAATCACTGCCAGTTCTACAACATATCAACAATTTTTTTTTTCTCCTGAGCCTGGCTTTGAGTTTGAGGATATATTCAGGTTTGTGCTTTGCTTCAGTGTGGTGACAATGTTTCACTGACTTATCTCAGTTCTATTGTGTAGCCAATACAGTAAATATTTAAAAGACATGTTTTTTTATCTCCGCCCGCTTCCTTTTCTTAGTATCTTAACTTCATTTTTCCCACAATACAATTCTTAGTTTTCTTTTCGGGAACAGTGCTTTCAAAAAGCATTTTTACAGTCTGAGAGTGCCATTTTCATGAATAAGTACCCACAGTACAGTATTTTAAAAATGAGGCATGTTGTGGCGAAATGGTTAAGTTGTCGCACAGTCCAGTATTGAGTAATGAGCTATAAAATATGGGAGCTCAAAAAATTACCTAAAAATCCAAATTCGTTTTTCACTATAGATCAACAGTTTAATGTCTTATTAATCATGTCCCATAGTATTAGTTCTG